TTGGCACGGTCGGTCTGGCGGGACCAGCTCGAGTCGGCTGAGCCGCGGCGGCTCGGACGGCCGGTGACGGCGCCGACGGTGTACATCGACGGCGCGGGCGACTCGATGCGCATCGAGCCGTCGCGGTGACCACCAAACGTGCTGACCGAGTCGCGTGGACGGTTGCTCGACTGGTGGCCGCCCAGCACCATGACGCCGCCCTGGCCGACGGCGTTCTCGTGGCGGACGGACGTCGTCGTCATCGACGACATCGGCCGGATCACATCGGGCGTCGAGGTGCGAGCCATGTCGTCCTGGAAGCTCGACCACATCAGGTCGTCGGTCTGGCACCCGCTCTCCTTGAGCTCGGCGGGCAGGCGGAACGCTGCGGTCGGCATGCCATAGGGCACCGGCCGCTCGAGCGAGAGCGACCGCATGTGCGAGACCGCGTCCTCGTACCTCTCCACGTCCGTCTCGGCCTCGGTGGCGTGGCCGCTGTCGGATTCCTCGCGCGACTCGACGTTGCCCGCGGGCACAGGGCTGCCGGGCGAGGGCGAGGCCGAAGTCGCAGAGGCTGGGGTCGAATCCGCCGCCGTCGCTGCCTCTGCCGCCGCCGCCGCAGCTGCTGCCGTCGCGGCTGCCGCTGCTGCTGATGCTGCCGTCGCCTCCTCCTGTGCCTGCTTGCGAAGCTTGCCCTCCTCCTCGGCCAAGGCTTGAAGGCGGTCGCGCTCTGCCTGCGCCTCTTGCTGGAGGCGGGCGTGCTCGGCCGCATCCCGCTGCAGGCGGCTCTGCGTCGCCTCGACCTCGTTCTGGAGGCGCGTGTGTTTGGCGGCAGCCTCGCTCTCCAGGCTCGCCTGCTTCTCGCGCGCCTCTTTCTGGTGGCGGACGAGCGCAGCGTCGGCCTCTCGTCGGAGGCGCTCGTGCTCCTCGGCTTGATCGCGCAGCTCCGCATGGGCCGCGGTGAGCTGCGCAAGCAGAGTCTTTTGCCTGCCCGCCTCGGCCGCCTGCGTGCTGGCCTCCTTCTGGTGTTGGTCCGCTGCGGCCGTGGCCGCACCGAGCGAGGCGACCGCTTCGGCCAGCTTGGTTTCTTGCGCCGACCTCTCGGCCTCGAGCTGTCGCACCTTCTGCTCGGCCTGCTGCAGCTTGTCGTTGGCATCTCGCAGCTGGCCGTGACCGGCTTCGAGTTCGGCCCGAAGGTCGGTCGCCTGCTTCGCGGCGTCCTGTTCAGACGCCTTGAGCCGGGCCTCGGCCGCGAGGGCGGCGGCCTTGAGCGCATCGACGTCCGCCTGAGCCTTCTTGATTGCATCGGAGCTGGCGGCGTCGCGTTCGGACTGGACGTTCGAGGCGCGCTGCTCGGTGAGCGTCAGCCGCGCCTCGAGATCGGCAATGTCGGACCGGAAGCGCTCGAGCTGGCTCTCCTGCTCCGCCTTTGTGCTTGCCGCGCTTGCGAGCTCCGCCTCGAGCTCCTTGATGGCCGCGGCCTGCTGCTCGCCGTCGGCCTTGCGCTGCGACTCGGTCTCGGCGCTCTTGCTCTCGGCGGCCAGGATCCTGGCGTTGAGGTCGTCGATGGTCGCCTTGAGCGCGCCGATCTCGGCCTGCGCCTTCTGGAGCGCCTCCTCGCTCGCCTCGAGCGCTTTTTGGTAGGCTGCCTCTTGCTGCGAGAGGATGCTGGCGTGCGACTCTTCGAGCGCGCGGATCGAGTCGGCGTGCTGGCGGTCGCGCTGCGACAGCGCAAACGCATGCGACTCGTCGCGCCGCTCGCGGTCCGTCGTGTGGCGCAGCTCCTGCTGCTCGACGTAGGCCTTGTGCGACGCGATCGCCTCGCCTAGGGCAGCGCTCGAAGCGGCCACCTGGTCGGCCAGGGCGCGCGAGTGGCGGGAGCGGG